TTGATCTCCCGTTCAATCAGCTTTTGCTTTCGCTTGGATTCATAAGCTAGGGGTCCGCCAAAGATGTGGTTGAGTTCCTTGCGATGGTCTTGAAAACCAGTCGGGGCATCATCTTCGTCATCCTTCTTCTTTGACGTGCTTTGATCTCCGTTAGTCGTCTTGCGTGAGTTCTTAGCGTATTGCTCTACGAACTGTTTGTAGACGAAGCAATCTTTGGCTGCGTGATTGGAATTTGGATGATGCGAACATTGGGAGTTCATGATCTTGTCAAAAGTGTTGACGCGTGAACGTTGTCGGGAGCATGGTGTAGTGGTTGCCACAAGTTCTTCGGGCTTACGCTTGCGATCCTTGTGATTGGTACTTCCACTCCCCCTGTAGTCGGCGTATCTTTCTTCGGCTTCCAAGTGGTGCCCGACTGCTTGGATGCGGTGACGGCATCTTCGGCTTTGGCGTACTCATTGGCTTTTTCGAACATCTGCTTGACTATCCTGGGAGGCTTGCGTCCAAACTTGCCGACTAAGAGATCGTGGCGAATGCCCTTGGTGAAGGCGGTGATGATGACGTCGTCGATGATGTCGGAGATCTTGTTGCGTTGCTCGGAAAAACGTCAGATCTAATCTCGAAGGGATTCTCCGGACTTCTGGACAACGTTGTAAAGATCAAACTGGGTGCTAGGGCGTTCAAAGGTACCCTAGAAATTAGCGATGAAGTGGTCGCGAAGTTCCGCCCAAGATTCGATTGTGCCACGGGGTAGCCCGTGAAGCTAGGACCGGGCAGAATCCGCTAGGGCCACGGGCAGATAATTTGCCATAGCTTTGCTGTCTCCTCCTGGTGCGCGAATTGCGAGACTGTAGACGGTGAGCTAAGACTCAGGGTTGGTGGAGCAGTCATACTTCTCGATTCCAGTCAGCTTGAAGCTGGCTGGCCAATCCACTCGACGCAGGTCACTTGTGAAGGCAGCAACTCCATCCACGTCGTCGTCGTAGCGATCTGGTGAATGGTGGGGAATGTAGCCTCTCGCCGCGCGCGCTGGTTAATGGTCTCGCGAAGATCGATGGGACGCCTATGATGTGGGGAGTGGGGACGTTTAGCTCGACGCTCCCTTTGCCGGTGAGGAGGCGAGTAGACAGATCGTTTGCCGTGATCCCTGCTCTTGCGACTTGACCCAGCGCCGACGATGCTGAGGCTTGGATGGTGATAGTCTTGAGATCGAAGAGGAGGAACTCGGCTGCCAGTCGGCGTGCGGACGCTTGCGGAATTAACCGGGACCGAAGCTGCGATCATGGTCTTGGTCTTGTTCAAGATGTTGACGACGTGATTGGCCTGATTGAGTGCGTCTCCCTTAAGGAGGGTGTCGAGGAGGGTGATCGCTGCAACCGCGTTCTGTAAAGGGATGTGAAAAACCGCCGTCCCCTCGACATCTTGCTGCCCGATGAGTTCTCGTGCTCGTCGCCCAGCCTCCAAGGCGCGCTGTCACCGGTCCTCAGCCTCCTTTGCAGCCCGCTCGCGCTCCTGTTGCTCACGCTGCAGCCTTTCTCACTCTTGTGCTTGGCGCTCCTCCTCCAGTCGGCGACGTTCGGCTTCTTGTCGCACGCGCTGTTCTTCTGCTTGTCGGGCTTGACACTGTTCTTCCGTCTCGTTGTTGGCCATGAAAATGCCGAAGTAAAGGGGCGTGTAGTTATCTTCATAGCCTTCGTCGAAGTCGTCGAGGTTGCGGTAGTCGTAGCGGTAGCCGAAGTCGTCGTACTCTACGATCTCCGTCAGTCGTGAGTCGACACTGGGAGAGCTGAGGTAGCCGTCCAATTGTTCCGTCGAGACCGTGCCGAGAGGCTGGAGTATGACGCCGACTTCCCTGGAACTAGACTGGATCGGGGACGGGGCCGGATCCCGCCTAGACCTACGGGGAGAGGACGCCCTTTTGGTGAAGACGGCAGCCAAGTCATCGCGGAGTTTCATCAGGATTAGCGGATAGGCTCCATCATCTTGATCGGGTCGTGTTGGAGTAGATTGGATCTCGTCCGAGTGGTTTGGGGCCAACTCGGCTGAGATGATCTTGGGGTAGATCCCGGCCGATTTCGGGATACCGAACGGGGCGGGGACCTGGCCTCTTCCCGACTGGTTCGAATCCGAGTCGAGGAGAGAAATCTTGCCGAAGTCGTTGGTGATGAAGTCGAGGCTGCCAAACCGAAACGCCTGCCCAGGTGGGAAGACGAAGTCGTCAATGCCGGAGACGAAACCCATCGCACTAGTCGGCGAAGAACTTGATGCTACCCCTACCTGGCGCGGCAACTGTCGAAACAAGATTTCGGCAATACTAAAAGGGGGTGGCTATCAAGCTGGAAAAGTGGATGGGTTGAAAGACAAGGAATTTTATACAGGTTCAGGCCTTCTTAATCAAGAAGTAATACCCTACTCCTGTCCGGGGATTGATCCGCCGAGTGTATTATTGATCGTTTGATCTGGGAGAAAATCGTGCCCCTAGAGGCACCCGAACCCCTCCTTATATAGGGAAAGGGGTCCGTATTACAAAGCACAATCCATATCCCTAACGGAATAGGTAGTTACTGATAAGATACAATCGTAACCGACTAGGATCTCGGGTATTTCCTTGACATACGAGTTTGGAATTTAACCCGAGTCCCTTTAAAAATATTCTATCTATACATGGCACCCCATACCCAGTCGGACTATACATGTCGTGTAGGTATGGGGTATCCATAATCTCCACAGACGGCTTCTAGAGCGTGGAGCTGCGGTGGAGTTGGCGGGATATGGACCCGAGCAAAAGGACGTCAACGGGTCTGTTTGGCAGTACATGATATATCCAAGATATGCAGGGTTTGCACGATAGAGGTATACGGAATCTGCGTCACTGAAGAAGTAGAGCGAGCACTGTAGTGATAATTTCTTCGGGGATTCAAGGCAATGGTGAATTTTTTCAAATTATCAGGAATTCAGTCTACGGATACGGGAAAGCGTGGATGTTAGATTTATTAGCTTGGTTCATAAGACGACAAGGAAGAAAATATTTAGTTCTTCATGTCTGGTGAGTTTGTTTTATCTATTTGGTGATGACATCAGTTATCTGGTCATGGATTAGATTAAATCAAATTTAAGACAAAAGATGGAGGTGAATATGGTCTTGGGGAGTCTATGATGTGACAGCTAGGAAAAAAATTATTTTCACTTGGCAAGATGACTGGTGATATGAGAGAAGGTAGAGCATTGTTGCAGGTAGAGTCAAGAGTATTGTCGCCTAGTTCTAGCTTAGTTTGTCAGTCTTTATCGATTTGCACTGTAAATCATCCACTTTCGTCGCGAGAGTGCGAAATCCCTCTGTAGGTTTGTCCCGTAAACCTTCCGTTCACCCACAAGACGGGTGTTTATCGCTTGTTCCATCTAAATCGGCTCTGCTAGTCGGTTTAATATATCAAAACCATCTTGATCTAGCTTTTGCTAGGTTGAGGTGGTTGGCGACTCTAAATCACCACCACGCATTTAGGTGTCCTGATCGTGATTGTCTTCTTGCTAGAAAAGTTGCCAACTTAAACAAAAAATAGTTTGTGTGCAAAACTTTTATATATGTGTTTTTAGTGACTTAAAAGTTAACACTGAAAAAAAACTATGTTGAAAATATGTTAAAATTGTTTTAAAATTTAAATTTTGCTTTAGCTTATTTTTTAGGCAGCCGATGGATCTCTTAGAACAGGTACAATAAGTCTAAATCAGCATGCTATAATGTTTCATATAGCAGATTTTTGCCTGGTTGAAAGAGAGAGAAGGGTAGGAGAGAGAGACGCGGGCTACTATTTTGCAGCCAGGCTGCACGCGGCTCCCCGTGCTGTAGGCCCAGTTTTTTTTCCCTGCATGTGTGTAACTTTGTGCATCATTTATTAGCAGTCAATCAAAGGATACTATTTGAGATTAAAAAAAATAAAATGCTGTGCATGAGAAATATGTAGAGATCATTACTGTATTTATTAGCTTTTGAAACAAGCTATAAACAGGATGATGTGTTATTTTTATAGCCACTAGCGAGCTGTACTATTAACCTTGCTCTCTGCTTCTACTAGTAAAAACTAATTCAGCCAAGGAATAAGATCACTTTGACTCCCTCAACTGACCGCCGAATATAAATCATATCCCTCAACCACAATACTAGAAATCTTAACCCCCGAACTATCTAAACCGGTACAATTTAACTCTCTTGGTGGTTTTGGAGGACGGTTTCGCTGACGTGGTGGTGCACACATGACAGTGTTGACTTGATCTTCGTTCCACGTGGCATTGAAGTGGCGCTTATGTGGCATTAAAATTAAAAAATATATGCTGGGCCATTTGTCATCCACACACACAAAAAAATGTGGGCCCACTGACATGTGGGCCCAATTTAACTCCCGCGGAAGCAGCTCCTTCTTGCGGATGCAGAGCGGATGCTGCGCGCCGCCTCCGATTTTGCGGCGGCGGTGGGCGCGTCTCGGCCTCGAGGCGGCGACGCAAAGCGAGGAGTGGTCTCCAGCCGCCGCCGCTGCCGCCCTGCTACCACATCTCGTCCTCTAGCCGCCTGTCGTGGCCGATTCGGAGCTCTGGATCTAGGTTGGTGGAGCTCGGTGTTACGCCGCCGGAGTCGTCTTGTCAATGCCACGTGGGACGAAGACCAAGTCAACACTGCTGCGTGTGCGCCACATCAGCAAAATCGTCATCCAAAATCACCAAGGGAGTCAAATTTGTACCGGTTTTAACAGCTCGGGGGTTAAGATTTCTGGTATTGCGGTTGAGGAATACGATTTAGATTAGCTGGTCAGTCGAGGGAGTCAAAGTGAATCTTATTCCTTCAGCCAATGGCCACGTATCGGCCCACAGATAGACGCCAGCTTATTGAGCCCATGCCCGAACTTCGGCCGACCCATCACTCAGCCCACACGGGACCTCTGGTCGATCCCAACCACTCGTTCTCCGCCGCCGCCTCCCCGTTTCCGCCCGAAGCCCCGCACACACGCTTTATCACCCCCTCTTTCCCCGATCGCCACCGCCGCACCAACCCCTACCCTGAGAAGAGCTAGGTTTTTTACCCTCCTCACTCTCCCTCGCGTCGGCGGCCGCGCGCAACTTTCCCTGAAGCCCCGGATCCACTCAACCCCCCTCCCCCTCCGCGCCAGATCGTTGTGTTTATGAGGTACTTGCCGTCGTCCCGCTTCTGCGGTAGCCTTAGATCTCGCTTTCTTCCTTCCCTTTGTTGCCTGTATGGCGGCGGATCTGTGGGCTGTCGGTTGTAGGGGTGCTGGATCGGAGTGGGAGGGGGTTCGAGCTGCTGTTTGCTGCTTTCTTGTTTGGAAGCTGGATTTTCGTTTGGTGATTCTTGGTGACGCGCTCTTGATTTGGGTAATCTTGGATGTGCGATTTTCCGGCGAGTTTTGATGGTTGAAGCTTGGGGATTCCGAGCGCTCAGTATGATCGGATCTGGTAGCTGTGAGTAAGCGAGGTTCCCTTTGATGTGCCTTGGTTTGATTCCTGCGTTGTAGGTCTATCAAATTCGTTGCGTACTGGTAGATTTGTCCGATTTGTTCGTCTCATTGAAATGGTATAAGGAATTAGCTATGTTTATCCAGACGTTTATCGTGTCAATATTTTCGTTGTTTGGGTAATTTGATAGTCTTTTCTTAAATCTTCAATGATTTGATGGGTTTGATGGAGCTGCCTTTTCTGCTTTTAGTCAGTTAGGTTCCTTGATTCCTCACAGATTTGGCGGTTGTCAGATGTTTGAGTTTTTCTTGATTAGTAAGTTCTGTGAATTTTACCCTGAGATGAGCATGAAGATTCTTGAGTTGTCCGTTGTTATTTATGAAGATTCTGGAATTCTCCGTCGATATTTTTAGAAAGTTTCACAAAACCACATATCAGTATGTTATGTTTTATGACTGTAGCTGCATAAAGGTTTCTCGGCCAGAGTCTGGATACTCCATCATAACCAAGTTCTTTTTTACTTACACATTCTTTACACATTTTTTTTACTTACCTTACACATTTTTTTTGACATGTTTTGGAATGTCCCGATGGCCTTTTCCAGTGCCAATAAAATAACATCTGGTTAAGGGAGGGGTTCTATGAATGTGTTAGGACCATAAAGCATGGGGAGCCTCGTACAAAAAACCTTTCGTGATTTCTGCAACAATGGCAATAAAACATTTGATTTTTTTTTTGGCCATTTAGTGCATACCATTATTTTACCTTTTGTCCTATTTAAGTTCAATTTTCTTTTGATAGGTGACTTATGTTTTAGACACATAGGGACACTTGATCCATTTTAAGTATGCAGGGGTAACGGGTTATTGAATTATTAGCAGTCCCTGCTTTGTTGTTTAACATTTTATACGCCTTATGCCATGATCACTTGAATTTCATCCAAATTGGAGATGATGCTTTCTTGTTGTCTGATCCAATTTCTCTTTTACCTATTTTTTGTCTGCAGCTCGAAGGAGAAGCCCACTCTTGGGTAAGGCTCTTGGTCTCGCAATGGTGGTGCCAGTGAATCTGCCAGCCACTAACTCTGTTGTACTTTTTCTCTAGAATTTAGGTTTATCACGCAAATACATCTACAGCGAATCAGGGATGAAATTGTCCCAAAAACCTTATAATTAACTTGTTCCAAATATTATTAGCCCACATATAATTCATTTTTATCCGTAGCAAAGCATGGGTATTAGCTAGTTCTTTTAGATATTTCTTGTTTACTTTCTTCTGGTGCTGTTGTACTGGGTGTTCATATCATTTAAGCACTATATTGGAATGCAACATTACGAATGAATCTGCACAGCTAGAGCTATCACTGATGTTACTCCTATAAATTTGTGTATGCTAGATCAATATGCACAACTGCACATACAGATATTTTGATTGAGTCATATGTAGAACTTTTCTGTTTTGTTCGTATTGCAAGTAGTAACATATAGACATGCTTTTCCTAAATGCCCTTGTACTGCAACTTAAGCTCACAAAATGTATGGGCATAATTTCAACTTTGATTTCATTTTGATAGAGCTTTCCTTGTTTAAGTATCTATGAGGCGCAAACTTGTTCAAGTGCTGTGCTTTAAATTTTGTTAGTCCGTGTTGCTTACTTAGTCCTTATGATTGTGTTTGTAATCTGTCTTATCTGACCTAGCAATAGTAGAGATAATGTTGCATGTTTCTTTTGCATGATGTTCTTGCTTTTAAGATATATTTATCTTGTCTTTTCTCATTATTACCTTAACTACGCACTGTGTGATCATACAGTAAGGGAATGAGCTGTCATGTGGTTTGTTGTGTCAATTCATAGTATTGTGTGAAGTTTTCAGCTTTCTTTGCAACTATCATATAGTAAGGCTATCTTAATGATTTTTTTTGTTATGCTATACTGCAGAGGCCAGCGGATTAAGACCCGCAAACGGAATATTGCTGCTCCTTTGGACCCTGCATCATTCTCTGATGCAATTGTCCAGATTTATCTGGATAATGCTGGAGACCTGGTTAGCCCTGTTAAACATCCTTGACATGTCACCTAACTTTCGTCTCATTTATCTTCAGTTGGGTGTTCTGATAAAATATTTATTGTTGTCTATACTTTTTGCTCATAAGGGACATGCAATTATTCTTGAAAATATTCTTAGCAGTCTGCCTATCATTCTTTGCTAGTACTTTTTTTTAAGAGGTCAGTTGAACAAAAATAAAACCTACGCATTACACTGATAAATCAATTTATTTCACAGATATGTATTGCCATTTCAGCCCCGTACTCAACATATTTAGTGAATAATGTTATCATTTTCATCTCTTAGTGTATTCAATCCAAAGCATTACATGCTATACAACAATTATGACTTCATAGTAAATTTTAATTTTTTTATTCTTGTAATCATGTTGAACATTATTTGGAGTGCTAGAATATCGACATACAAGCTAACATTATATTTATATGTAAAACTATCTTGCCGACCTTCACATACATATGTTTTACTTGTATTTTATCCTGTGCAATCAATTCTTATAAAGACCTTTCACTGACAGGAACTTGTTGCCAAAAGTATCGAGTCCTCGGATCTCAACTTCTCACGTTACGGTGACACCTTTTTTGAGGTATTTCCATAGAATTATATGTATGTAGAATTCTCTTGGATGTTGCATTTGTGGTTATGACCTTTAATAGTCTACATCTATATTTATAGTTAACTAAGATATTATTACAGTTCTCTTCTAGCTTATATTGTAATTAGTTTGGAGTTTTAGCTTGCTTGCTTGCTTGGATGCTGTACTCTGTGGCACCAAACTGCCATTTGTCAAGCTATTTTTATACTATTAGCTAAATGCCGGTGCTTTGCAATGGATTAAACAAAATGTATTAATGTGTTACGGAATATTCATCTTGAACTATTTTTTTATGTGGCTATCCATTTAGTTTTGATCCTTTTTAATATTAAGAAGTTCAAGAAGAGGTAACATGCAAACATTTAAAATGGGAGTAGGTGCCACCACCACTACCTGATTAAAAGAGTATAGATACACAGTTATTTTTGAGCTATTTGTGATTTAATTCTTTTGTGTTTATTTTGAACAAAAGTAAAACTACAAATAGTATTGTGCCTTTGAAAGATGTGCAAAATGAATTAAGTACTGGAGTTTCAATTTCCTTGAATAACCCTTGTTGTCAACGAACACTTAAATGTAAATATTTGAAAAACTGCAGGTTGTATTCATTGGAGGGCGCACTCAGCCTGGCACAATAAAACCTGAGGAAGAAGGAGAGCGTCACCCCTATTCTGTACTTGATTGTGCAGCGCAGCGTGAAGCAATTTTGCCTTCTGTTCTCTACATTCAGAAAACATTGCGCAGGAGGCCTTTCTTGATAAAGAATCTTGAAAATGTTATGCGCAAATTCCTTCAGTCACTGGAGTTCTTCGAAGAAAATGAGAGGAAGAAACTTGCCATTTTCACAGCACTTGCCTTTTCTCAGAAGTTATCAGGTCTTCCACCTGAAACTGTCTTCCAGCCACTGCTCAAGGATAATCTTGTTTCCAAAGGGATAGTGCTTTCGTTCATTACTGAGTTTTTCAAAGAATATCTGAAGGAGAACACTTTAGATGATCTTATTGCACTTTTGAAGAAAGGCAAAATGGAGGACAATTTGCTGGAATTTTTCCCATCGGCAAAAAGAACCTCCGAGGCTTTATCTGAACATTTCACGTAAGTTGTTATCATGATTTTTTGCTGAACAGAAGTAGTTAAATGATATTCTGAGTTCTAGTGTTTCATTATGCTCTCTTCAGTAAAGAAGGTCTGACAAGTCTTGTTGAGTACAATGAAAAGAAGATGTTTGAGGTTAAACTTAAGGAGATAAAGTTAACACTGACAACAATGATCAATGAAGAGGCTGAAATATCTGAAGTCACAGAAGCTGTCAAGCAACAGGTGAAAGATGCTAAATTTCCTGATATAGAGGTTGTTCGCATGCTATGGGATGTGCTGATGGAGGCTGTTCAGTGGTCTGGGAAGAACCAGCAACAAAATTCTAATTCAGCACTTCGGCAGGTAAATCTTTTTATTTTGGCATTGATTTTAAAGCAGTTGTGGGATACTTGGAATGTGTATATCTTAGTTCAGCTTCTGAAATTCTACTTTTGCCTACTAGCATAGGTGAGGATAGTCAGCAAGTGTACAACATTGTTTTGTGGTGTATCATATTTCTATTTTGTTATACCTCTCGTTCCTTATTTTTCTCATAGTAAAGTGGATCGTCTGCCCTCCACCTAAATAGAAAACTACCTCAGTGTAACCTCTGGAGAACTTTCTCTTGACCAATCATTTCTCGGGAGGCAAAAGAAATAAAATTCTATCCATAGAACAGTAGAACGATGTTTGCTGGTATGGATAGTAGGAGCTAAATGTATACGAATTTGCATATCATGGGGTTAACTGGCCTATGTTAACCCATGATATGCAAAAGCTATCAATTACTGAGGGAAAATGAACATTGATATCGCCTGTCAAAAGCTACAGTTTAATGGAAAGGCAGGTTAAAGCAATGATTATGAGTGGTTGCTTGTTTGGAAGATGGGGCATTTGATGGCATTTCCACTTTCTAATTTAGGGACAAGAAGCCTGTTAACTTTGAAATAAATGCAACAAACTTTGCAACTTCATTTGTCAATACATATTTGGATAGTTGGATTGATATGTACATGATATGGGTAGGATTTTCTTGAGGTATTCACAAAAATTGCAGTAATATTTTTTTGCAGTTGAATTTTGGCGATTGATGCAAAATGTCAGTTATCTGTGACATGAGAGCAGTATTAGGTTAAAGTCAGCGTCACTTACCGTGTTATAGATGGCATTAGGGTGGTAATAGTTGCCTGCACAGGCCACATAATTGGACGGCCAGTCGTAAGCGGCGAACGAACTTTCACAAATCAGTGAATCAGATCTGTTGTGAGTGCAAACACCAAATCTACCATGTTGGACATTTGGTTGGCCATTTCCTCTTACCTGATTACTCCTTCAATTACTACTACCACATTGAGTGCACCGTCAACCTGCCCAATAGTACCAGTAGATAACAAGTTATAGTGCCACTCATGTCCTTGTGTCAGTTGCGTAGTCACAGTTAAGTTTAGAGTCTAATCTACGACCATGTGATATTACATGCTTCGAAACTACTGTGGTATAAACCCGGGGAATATTGCAAGTATTTTTATGAAATGACAATATAATGTCTTAAGTTGCCTCTAAAATAGATTAAGGCTGTGTTCACTCCAGCCGGATCCCAACCCAAACAGTGTGCACGGAAAACGAAGCGGTCCATTAGCACGTGATTAATTAAGTATTAGCTAAATTTTTTTTTCAAAAATGGATTAATTTGATTTTTTTAAGCAACTTTCGCATAGAAACTTTTTACAAAAAACGCACCGTTTAGCAGTTTGAAAAGCATGTGCGCGGAAAACGAGGGAGAGGGGTTGGGAACTTGGGGTGCCGAACGCACCCTAAAATTTCACAACTATCCTCACAAAAGAAAAAGGAGATCATAATCAAATGTATATATATGTATTAATATGACTACCAGATTATCAGTATAATCCTGATCAATTATTTGCATGTCAATTAACCACTTGGTGGTCCCTTGGTTGTACGAATTCCAACTATTACTACACTGGACAGTATATCCTCTTGATGGGAAGATTACCTTTTAACTGCTTAGGTGATGTGTGAGTATTTGAATGTGTGAACTCTAATAGTTTGGGATGCATTCAAATAAATTGGTTAATGAGGGCTGCTTTCATTATGTATGTTCACTAAAGTTGTGGAAGTGTCACATTTCCCAATGATGGATCGTCTATTAGGTATCCAATTTAAGAGCTTTAACTCTACTTTGGAATGGGTCTATTTTGGACAAATTACTTGAAGATATCCATGAATAAGTGTATTATTAATTTTGCAGTTTGCTGAAAGGGAAAACTCTAGATGCTGCGTTGTCTAGATCCCAAATAGGAAGAAGCACCTTCTATTAGTTATGCTTGTGGAGATTAGGATTAACCTCTAAAGACCATTTTGATCTTTCTAGGTTCTCTTTGTTATGATGGGTATCATTTATTATATCTAAAAATATTCCCTTTACAGGTGAAAGCATGGGCTGGCCTTTTGAATGCATTCTGCACAAGTGGCAGGCTTGAACTCGAACTCATATACAAAGTTCAGACACAGTGCTATGAGGATGCTAAGCTGATGAAGCTATTTCCTGAAATAATCAGAACGCTGTATGACCAAGATGTCCTAGCTGAAGATACCATCCTCCTTTGGTTCCGCAAGGGTTCAAACCCAAAGGGCAGGTAATTGCCTTACGTAGGTCCACTTTTGTACAAGATACTGATTTTACCTAGGTTTTTGTTAATACGATTTCAAGCTGTTAAACAACGCATTTTATGTGGAAACTTTCTATATAAAAGTTGCTTTAAAATATCAGAAAAATCCATTTTTCAAGTTTATAATAATAATTATAACTTGATTAGTCATACGCTAATGGCTTTCTTGTTTTTCTTGTTTTCCGTGCCCTAACTTCAATCTTCATGTTAAGTAGAAACTAACTACCAATGCGAACTTTAGATTGCAATCACTAGTGGATAATATTTGTTTCATGTAGATGTTGTAGAGTTTCAGTTATGTTTGAAACTGCTATAATATTTGCATTTTAATGTCAGGCAATCTTTCGTCAAAGCACTGGAACCTTTTGTTAAATGGCTGGAGGAGGCCGAGGAGGAGGAATAAATGGTGCTACTGGAGGCTGTGCGAATGTATTGTTTGAATATTTCCTTATATCCCAAGTTTCCAGCTAAAGTTATGTATCTTTTGCTCCCTTGTTACTGGGCCGACCATTTTATGATCACATGCTGATCCTAATAGTCTACTGAATGTTAAAATCCCATGCAAGAAGTTATTCCAGGATTTGCTAAATTATTGGTTGTTACAACTTACAAGAATGTTCCATATGTTATTTCTCAACTGTTGGTACTTAAGATATTTTAAATTCTTATGATTTCATTACTGTGACCGGACCTTTCCGGCCAGTAGGGACTCTAGGAAGCCCATTTTTTTTTCACTATTTTGCTCGAAATGAACGACAAATTTGCCATTCGGATCGCCACATGTAACGTGGTTTTGCACTCCCGGTGGCATTTGACGGCCGTTTAGAGGGAAATCCACTTTATTTATGAATTTAGATATGGATGCGATTTAGTGCTTATCTCCCGTTCTTAACAAGAGCCATCACGACTCAATCAAATGATGCTTCCTACGGTTTTATGTTTTGGACAGCGATATTTTCTCTAAACATATATTTGAGTCATGGTTTTAAATTTTACGTAGTGTTAATAAACGTGTTTTCCAGCGCTCCCCTTAGACATGTACAATGGTGGCTAATAACGGTCTCTTAGAAAAATAGTTTATTAACAGATTACATGAGGATGGAGAAAAGAAATTTATTACCAGAAAATTTGTTGCATGAGGACGGAGAAAAGAAAAGAAGTACAGTAAAAAATTATCTAAAAATTTGTTGCATGAGGATGGGGAAAAGGAAAGAACTATATTATCTAAAAATTTGTTGTATGAGGATGGGGAAAAGGAAAAAACTATAATAAAAAGTTGCATGAGGACAGGAAAAGGAAAAGTTGCATGAGGACGGGAAAAGGAAAGAACTATAATAAAAAATTATCTAGTGTATTAATAGTTTAGAAATCTTATTTCTCTACTATGGTAGGAGGATAGTCTATAGTGACATTAATTAATATAGAAAGTAATTAATATAGAGAGCTCATATTAGACTCTAATTTTGTACATGCCCATATTCGTATTTTTCGTTTTACACGTCACCCTCCTCTACCGTATTTTCCGCTTTTCAGGTGCATACACGGGATTGCATCTGCTCTTACTTCGTGAGAGTAAAAGAATTACTCCTTTTGTCTCCAAACTAGAAAAAGATGTATGTACGTTACAACGGGTTAAGGTTATTATAATTTGTTATACGATTTAGCTAGGATAAAATTAGCTGCGTAAATTCGCTTGGATACATTTTTCTTAGAAAATCATGAGCTGCAAATTAGGAGTTCGACTTTTATCTCAAAGTTACTATGTGAGTTTTCTTTAAGAGATTTCTTCTACGACTCATTTTGTTTTTCTAAAAGCAAACGAACTTAATATCCGACTTATACACGGATCTGTATTTTCAAAAGCGAGCGAACATAAAACCGACTCAAACATGGATGACATATCAAAATACCGGCAAAAACATCTTCAATTCTCTACTATTTATAAAATTGAGGATATTTTTGTCGGTACTTTGGTATGTCATCTGTACATGAGTCGGTTTTTAAGTTTGTTCGTTTTTTGAAATACATATCCGTATTTCAGTCGGTCTTTAAGTTCGTTCGCTTTTGGAAATACAGACAGAATTGTATAAGAAATCTCTTTAAAAAAATTCACATACTAACTTGAGACGATTAGACTCTTAATTGCAGCTCAGAATATATATATATATATATATATATATATATATACACATATATGTATGTATGTATATGTATACATACATACATATACATATATATATCTATATATATGAGCATATTCGAAGACTGGGCTAGCAAATCTTTGAGATTGACGAAGTCACCATAGGCGCCTTGTTGTCGATGGGTACATCGTTTACCACATTAGATTTCACCTTAACTGAAACGTATAATAATAATAAGATTAAAATAGCCTTCACCTGTTGTAACGCACTGGTATTTTTTTTCTAGTTTTTATAATAGTAGAGATAAACAAACCAGTATGGAATGCAAGTTTACTCCCTTTGTTTTATAATATGTCACGTATAGTATAAGATTTGTTTATTTTAGAATTGGGACTGTCAATGTGACAGCCGGCTGATTTTTTTTATTGCGTTTACAGCAGGATTTGTAACTGTAGGATTGTACACATGTCAGGATCAGCCGCCTCCCCTCGTGCACGCGGTGCGCGCGCCTCACTCGCATCACGTGCTTCCTCTATGTCGAATTGTATCACCAGTCCATTTGTATTTTGTCCGTTAAAAAGGGCCATGAAACAAACGAGCTTGAAAATGCATGTGAAACCTGTCCTAAAAGAAGAGACACACTCATTCATGCATTCGTAAGACAACATGTATGTGTCACAAATCAAACAAGCCATGACACGTAATATCAAGTTTGCTACATGTCCCTGCGTAACCCACCCAGACTTGAATTGAGGTTGCTCAGTGCCACATGACAGACTTGAATTGAAGTTGCTCAGTGCCACATAAGGAAAGAAATAAAGAAAACAAAGTGAAGAAAAGAGAAGGCCATATGTGTGTACTACCAAGCATTTGCAGCATTCAAGGATCAAGCCACAATTATTTACTTAACACTCATCAGCATTTCAGATTAGTACGCAAACCCAATACACACGCGCGCGCGCGCGCGCGCGCGCACACACACATATATATATATATATATATATATATATCGGAGAAGCAACTATAATAATTAGCATTTCAGAGCAGATACATATTAAGAGCTAGAGTGTTCTTCCATGTTTCCCCTACTTTGGTAGAGCAAGGGGATCAGAAACTATACTGGTGCTATCTACTCCGCCACTTAAGATCACTCAGTGATGTCTTTTTTGACCAATGCTTCAAAAAGCAAACCGTTTGAGAATAACAAAACATTTGTGCTGTAAGAAATACAAAATTGTAGGTAAAGTCAGTTGTGCTAAAATTGACACATCCATCCTTCTTAACATCACACATACACGCCAAAAAAAAAAACATCCACTACAGTTGGTTCAGGAGTTTATGAGATTGTAATAGTACAACATAGATCAAAATTACCTTGAGAAAAAGATATCATCCAACGATATTGCTAGCTTGAAACCTGGATTTTGATAAATAAAACAGTTACAACTATTCTTGTTAGTTTTGGGACATTAACTAACAAAGAGGCTGATGGAGAGCTACAATTGGAGTGCTATATGCTAACATCAAAATATATTAATTCCTGACAAAACTCCCCATCTATCCTCATTTTGACTAAACTAATTGCATCTTATAAGTATTATTTGCTATAAGACTGTTTCTAACAAAAACATAGACGGTAGAATTGATATATTTTTATGGAAAGTAAATAGCGGCATTAAGAACGATTTCCAGTGGTTAGGATATGACCTAAATATGCGATAAACTGATTAATATGTACCAAAATTATAAAAATATAACAAAGACAAAAACAAAAACACATACTTTCTGAAACTTTTCTGAAACACATACTCAGGATCGAATTCTGCCGGTTTGACCGGCCGGTCCACAAGCAACGTTATGACCGACCAACATATAACGGTCAGACCGGCTCCGTGAAGGAAATCGACACTAGGTGCAAAATTTGGATGTAAACACATGCCCCCTGCCTTTTTGGTGAACATCGTGAACCTAAAGACTTGGGAACTTGCCAAACACTCGGGAAGTATTTCTTCAAGTATTTCCCATTAATTGCTCTTTGAAATCGTTCTGCTTGTAACGTCTCAAGAAAATAAAATATGCATTCCCTGAAACGATTCCACATATCCAATAAGGACATTCCCAACTATGTGACCACTTACGGAACTCCATAAATCGAGAACCCAAAGGCAAAATCGTCTTCCATACCAAGTCTCCTGCTTGAAAGATTTTTCTTTCACTCTTTTATTGTAGGATTTAGCTACTCTCCTTTTCTCCTTCTCTATCACTTCCAAAGCCTTCAAACACTTATCGGTCACATCATAAAGATTGTCTCCCATAAATGTTTTCTATTCTTCAACCAATAAGTCATCTTGCTTTATGTATCTAAGAGAGCCATGATTCACCTCTATCGGTAAAACGGCTTCTTGTCCATAAGCCTACTCAAAATTAAGGAGTAACTTTAGTAGCACCATGTTCAGATATCCTATCATCCCATAATGCTTCCGAAAGCACCTCATGCCACCTCTTTGGATGTTCTTCGATCTTTTTCTTGACTAATTTCAACGACATCTTATTACTCAACTCGGCTTGTCCATTAGCCTGAGCGTAGTAAAGAGATGAACTTAACAATTTAATACCATAAAATTTGGAAAAACTTCTTACCTCCTTAGACATAAAAGTTTGAGGAATGCCAAATTTATGAGCAATATGCTTTTAAAATAAAGTCAATTACCTCCGTGTAAGTCATAGCAGCATGAGTTTGGCCCATTTGGTGAAATAATCCATTACAACTGGCACGAACTGATGCATTTTGGATGACGAAGGATAAATTTGACCTATGAAATCTAAAGCCCAACTTCGGAACGGCGATGGTTTAATAATAGGATTGAACACTGCGGCGGGCACCAATTGAACATTAACGAACTGTTGACAAGCTTCACATCCCGTATAATGCCTAAAATAATCATTAATCATTTTCGGCCAATAAAACCCCACTCTCTTAAGCAACCAATTCATCTTATGGGAAACTTGGACCGATCATTATCTAAGCATTTCAGTAATACCCCATCTATATTTCGGTGATATAACTCCCCATCAAGCAAAGTATATTTAAATGCTTGCCGCTGAATTTCCCGATCAACCCTAAGACTAGGATCTTTCGAATATTCTATTAAACGGATTATCCAATCCTTTTCCAACTCCTGGGCACAAATGTCTGAATTTACAGTCATATCGGCCTCTAAATCAAACATCTCATGCCCCCCAGCTCTTTGCTGAGATCGGGTCAGACCGGCCACACTAGGCCGGTCAGACCGATCATGGTCCCCGGTCAGACCAGTCATGCTGCGCCGGTCCTCTTGTTGCTTCACTACAAGGTTTTCGGGCTAATGCCACGAAATTTTGGGCAACGACGTGATTTTCGTTGCAATACATAGGGGTTATGTCACGTCCCAAAACGACCCTAAAATATATCCTTTAAATTATGCCTAGAATAATTAAAATCCGTGTGAAAGCCTCCAAAAATTAAAATGTGCAAAGTAAAAGTCA